CCGCCCAGCCCTGCTGTGGGAAGACACCCGTGTCCGTGCCCGTTCCCGGCTCCACCCGGACCTGGGAATGGAAGGAGTCAAGCCGGCCGCCCGAGAGGCCGGAGTCCGTGCCCGAGAGCTGGGTGCGTCGGCGTCACCGAGGCTGAGCTCACGCCTCTCTTCTCTGCACCGGCACGTGCTCGCTCCTGGAAGCGCCAGCGCCCCCTGGGAGCCTGCAGTTCTGTTCCCCGGAGCGCAACTTTCTGTCTCTCTCTGCTCCCTGAGCGTGCACGCGTGCTGACCCCGTGGTGGAGGAGATGCATAGACGGGGGGGCGGGGGGCGTGCGTGTGGCTGGGTGGGAAGGGAAGGGAGGGGGGTGGAGGTTGAGGGGATGGATGGATAGGTGGATGGGTGGATGGATGGGTGGGTGGGTGGATGGATGGATGGATGGATGGATGAATGGATGGGTGGATGGATGGGTGGATGGGTGCGTGGATGGATGGGTGGGTGGATGGGTGGATGGATGGGTGGGTGGATGGGTGGGTGGATGGATGGGTGGGTGGATGGATGGGTGGATGGGTGGGTGGATGGATGGATGGATGGATGGGTGGATGGGTGGATGGATGGGTGGATGGACGGATGGATGGATGGATGGATGGGTGGATGGATGGATGGGTGGATGGATGGGTATAGTGGTAAATAAATGGGTGGGTGGGTGGGTGGATGAGTAGGTAGATGGATGAGAAGCTAAATAGACACACAGGTGGGCGGATGAGGGAAGGGAGGGGTGAGTGGATGAAGAAGTGGGTGGATGGACGACTGGGTGTGCATACATGGATGGATGGATGGGTGAATGAACACAGAACAAATTAATGGGAGCGTGGACGGGTGGGCAGATGGATGGGTGGGTAGACAGGAGGGTAAATAGACTCACAGGTGGATGGATGGATGGATGGATGGGTGAGTGAGTGAGTGGATTGTTGGGTGAATGGACTGATGGACGAGCAGGTGGATGAATCTCAGGGTAGACAGGTGAGTAGGTGGATGAGTGGAAGGATGGATGGACGGACAGGTGAATGGCACATACAAATGGCAAAACCCTTCCTGCTTTGGCGTCTGAAGGTTCCCCGCCCGGCTTTTTCTCACCAGCCTCCACGCACCTGGCCGGACCCCTAGACGTGTCCCCCCAGGGAACGCCCGATGGCCCTCGTCCGCTGGAGCACCTCTGGGAGCCGGCCGAGCCCCAGGCGGGCCCGGATGATTCACAGCCGTCAGCCGGCCGCCTTCCCAGCCTGACTCAGGTTTGCGTCCCCAGCTGTAACTGTGCTAAAAACACGGCGGGCGCCGGCCCTGCTGTGGGGGCCCCAAAGAACCGGCGTCAGCCACAGCCGCTCCGCGCAAACGGACAGACTCGGCACCTGGCTTTTCGGCACCTCCTGGGTGGGTCCCGGGTGCAGCAGCGTCCGCGGGGGCCGCGTTTTTCTCCGTCAAGACCTCTCACGTCAGGTCTGAATCATCAGCGTGGTTTTTCCCTTTCCTCCTCCGGCTCTTTCTTCCTGCCGCAGGGCCCCAGCACGGCTTTCTTGGCGGGGGGGGCCCTCCTCTGACTTGCAGCTCACCCCCATCTGACAGATGCGCCCCGCCAGGCGAAAGCCACCCCTTCGCCGCGAGTTGGCAGGCCCCCGAGGGAGGGTGTTGGCTTCCAGACGGCTGTCAGCAGGGACGGCGCGTGCTTGCTTCTGTCATTTTTTTTGTCGTCCCCCCCCCCTGCCCAGAAGGAGCACGTCTCTGCCCACGCCTGTCCCAGGCAGCAAGGCCCTCCCGAGAAACCCAGGCTTGCAGAAGGGAAAGGAGAAGGAGAGAGAGAGAGAGAGAGAGAGAGAGAGAGAGAGAGAGAGAGAGAGAGAGAGAGAGAGAGAGAGAGAGGGAGAGAGAGAGAGAGAGAGAGAGAGAGAGAGAGAGAGACAGGCACAGCAGGGAGTGCAGGGTCCCGTCATTTATTTCCCAGGAAACCGCACGGCGACAGCTGACAAATGCGTGTGCGTGAGCCAGAAATCTCTCAGGAGGCTCACGCCGGACCCATTTGTTAGCAGGCCACTTAGCGGCTGTCTCGTTAGAAGGTCCGCTCATCCCTCTCCGCTGGGTGCCAGCTGCCCAGCAGGCTCCGCGGGCCCCAGACGGCATCGGTCCAGTCACCGTCTCTCTGGGGGGGGCGGGGCGGGGGGGGAGGATGAAGGGGGGAGGTCCTTCCGGGCTGGGTTGTTCTCGCAGAAACCCGGGGCAGCCGCGCCCACTCGGGCAGCTCACGGCATTCAGGCTCTCGTGGAGGAGAAAGGTGGGGATGAGGGTGACAGTGATAGTTTCACGATCAACATTCTTTTTTTAAAAAAAAGATTTTATCTGTTTTGTCAAGAGAGGGGAAGGGAGGGAGAAAGAGAGGGAGACAAATATTCATGTGTGGTCGCCTCTCGTGCGCCCCCTACTGGGGACCTGGCCCGCCACCCAGGCGTGTGCCGTGACTGGGGATTGAACCGGCGGCCCTGTGGTTTGTAGGCTGGTGCTCCGTCTGCTCAGCCACACCAGCCAGGGCTGTAGCCAACACTCTTGGAACCTGATCTTCACTTTTTCCTTGGAAAACGTTTATTGCAATATCTATCCGATGGCTTCCCAACGACTGTGTGTGTCTCACCCTGTTTTCATTGTTTCCTGTCGTCCCTGACGTATCATTAGGCAATAGTGTCAGGTCGTGTGTGAGATTCTGAGCACTGAGGGGGGTTCCCAACTGTGGACACTTGTTCTCGCATCAGCCCTGCCAGCTCCCACACATGTGCAAGAGAGAGTCTTCACGTCAAAGTGCCGGGGAGACGTACGAGGTCCAATCGATACTTTAGTTTTTGAGCAACAGAATAAAAGCGTAGAGTGGGAGTATTACATATACAAATCATAAAATAAATACCCACGAATCAATACGGATACACATGATTGAACAGAGATATGATAAGGAGAATAACATCTATATATTGGGCTGGCCAAAATGTTCATTGTTTTTGTTTTTTTTTTTCCCATACGGATGGCTCTGAGGACACTTAGTTGTCTTTAACTTCATTCGAAACAGTTCTGTTACACTGTATTGTAACGGCTGTTGTATCGGGTGTGCATGTATGAAAACGTATCAAATTTACCGCAATGCAAACTCATCAAAGGTATCAAAGCCCTCGGCAACTTACCGGTGGCCAAAGGCTTTGGTGAACTTTTGGACGGTCGTGTTACTATTAGAAGACGGAAGAAGATATGGAACATTTTTTGGCGTAGCGTGCTTTATTATTTCAAGAGAGACAAAAACACCACTGAAACACACACAAAAAAGGTGCGTGCGGTGGAGGCGTAAGGCTCTGTGATGGGTCGAACGTGTCCAACTGGTTTGCGACGTGTCTTGGTACTGCTGACACGGTGGCCAAATGGTTCTCTGCCGTGGGGAGTCTTTTGCACGGGGAGGCATTCGGCAGCACCCCTGGCCCCTCCCCACTGGGCGCCAACGGCGGGAGACAGCCGACACCCTCAAAACACCCCAACCAGTACAGGGATCGGCGTGAACAAGGCGTCTGTTATGCTTCAGAAACGACCTGCACGGACTTTTCGGCCAACCCCGTACGTACGCGGGAACAGCACCCAGCCACACAGAGGAGGAGACCTCATCATTCGTGCTGACGTGCATGAGGCTAGAGGGTGCTATGTGCGCGGTGACCTACATCGGACAGAGAAAGACAAATGCCGTGTGATTTTACTGACAACGTGGGATGAAAGGAAAAAGCAGAATAAATGAACGAGCGAAACAGAAACCAACTGGCAGATGCGGGGGACAGAGGGAGGTTTACCAGAGGGGAGGGGGCTCAGGGCCCGAGGGGAACAAGGTGCAGGTACTGAGGAACACAGGCGGGCGGGTACGGAGCAGCCGCAGGGTGGCAAGGCCAGCCCAGAGAACAGACTCAGCAACCTGATTAATTCCTGTACGTGGTGCCAGGTGGGTAGGGGCTGGAGATATCGGGGGGCTCCCTTTGTAGGTTCTATCCATGCCTAAGCCACTGGGCTGGGCACCTACCATGAACAATATAATGTATGTCAACTGAAACGGGGGGAGAAAAATGCAATAAAAGCATACAAAGGAAAGCACGCCAGGTAGGACATGAGTTCACAGGGCTGCCGATGATTGTGTGCCTTTCTGGCTGGGGTCTGTTTAAACAGCAGCTCACAATGGAACTATTTTGGAGGCTGCGGACCCACCGAGCTTCCTCCCGCACAGCCGCCGTCCTTGCAAACGCCCACCAGAGTGTGAATGACACGTTTGCTCCTGTTGCAAGGACGGGACACAGTTGCTCCCTGCGCCTGCACGGCCAGTTGTAGCAGGTGGGCGCCGGCTACATTGTGGTTCGCTGTGGCAGCTGAAAGGCTGTTGTATCCCTTGCTTCCCAACCGCTTCTGGGCAACCACTCCCCCCACTCCCCTCGCTGCCTGCAGCCAAATCATCCTGTGCATTCATCAGGCCAAGTTCAGGGTTACCGGGCAAACGACCTGGGATGGGAATGGAAATGTCTCCTTTCTCCTCTGCTCTCTTTGACCCTGAATTATTCTTCTGACGCATTCCTAACCGGATCCCCATTTTTCCGTGCGCCCCTGTGCCTCTGTGACCTCCCCGAGCTAGCGTGCGCGCCATGGAGGGCAGGCACTGCCCGTGTTTTTAATTCCTGCCCCCCAACGTGTGCAAGCTGCAGTGAGCCGTCACGGAGATGATCGGTGTTGGCGGGCCCACGCCGTAATCGCCGCGCCGGGAGCTCTCTTCTCGCTCGGCCACGTCCTGGCTGTGCCCCGCCCCCCCGCCCCCCCGGGAGGTAATGACCCCCTTGTCCTACGATGGCATTGGTGGCCGAGCAGGAAGCAAACACCCACCACCACGCCTGGCCCCCCTGAACACCACCATTTCAGGCGTGCCCTCCTGGATCTGCGTCCTCATTTTCCACACTCAGCGAGAGGTCACACCGTCCTCGGCCAGCAGGCCGCGCATGGGGCCGCACCGGACTCCAAATCTAAGTCAGCGCGGGCCCTCGGATCCTTGCTGAGGCCACTGCGAGGTGGGGGGGGGGGGTTGGGGGGACACGGGGACACCACGCGGGTGCCTGTGTGCCGCCACCTTCCCTCCGTCCCTGTAGCTGTCTGTCTGTCTGTCTGCTGTCCCCCCAGGCGGCCACAGACCGGCCACCCGTCCCCAGACCGCCAACCACGTTGTCTTTCTCCAGCGACGCCCTGACTCCACCTTGGAGCATTGCATCCCGTGTGTGTGTGTGTGTGGTTTGAATTGTGCAGGGGGCCCAGCCAACGGCCGGGCGGGCGGGTGGGCACTCGGGCAGGGGGAAGGTTGTTGGGGAAAATACCTCACACGCGGGGAAGATGGCAAGGCACGCGGACTCAGAGGGGTTAACGACCCAAGTCCTGAGCCACGGGCTTTGATCTCCCCGGGTTTATTAAATAGCCCCGGGGGGCGGGGGCTTCCTGCCTGCCTGGAGAAGCAAGGTTACAGAAGCCAGATGCGGAGGGGTTCGGGAGTTAGGGGTCAGGGAGCCAGGCCTGGTTACCATGCCTGGGGGACAAAGGAACACGGGCCACTGTGAAGTTTTGCGGATGTTACGTTGTTGTTACGGCTTGTCCATGAAGCTCCGGAGCACAGGAGCTCATCATGGGGTTTTCCTCTCCTGCCACAAGAGAGAGACAGCTGGCCCCAAAGAGGGGGCTGGAGGACGTACCCCAGACTCACCCAATGGCCACCCCCCCTGGCATCTTGGGGGGGGTGCTGCTGGTCTTGCACCGACTGTGCCTTCAGGCCACCACCCTAGGGCGAAGGCCACCACCCCTCCGGGGCCGTGTGTGTGCAATACAGGGCACCTGGCTGGGAGTCAGGCACAGGCTCGTTTAATTCGTACAATGCACATGGACCCTCATGGGCCGTCTTCCGCAGCTGGGGGGGGGCGGCACTCGTCCGGGGCCGGCACGAACCCGAAGCGTGGGTCTCGGCGCCCCTACTGTGTGCAGACCCCCCCCCCCCCGCCCCGGAGCCCGGGGGCACACCCAAGTTCAGATCCAGGCCACCTTCCAAGCTGCAGGACCCACCCCCACCCCCCCAGACCCTGAGGGGAGCACCCCACTCAGCCCCACGGTGCAGGTTCCTGTTGCCCACTCAGTTCATGTGTCAACAGTGTCCCCCGGGGAACACCCCGGAAACCCCGGGCGGGAACCGGCAGCGACCTCGTCCAGGGCAGCAGGTGCCCTGGAAACATGGGGACGGGCACACACAGCCGGCCGCCGGAATGGTCTGCAGACAAGGGGATTCGAGGTGGGCAGGGCCGGGGGCGGGGGAGGCCTGAGGGCAGGTGTGGGCGGGACTCCACACGGCCCTGGGGGCCCCACGGAGGTTCTCCCGCGGCTCTGAGACCCACAGGTGTTCACGTGAGGGCAGGGCGCGGGGGGGGGGGGGATAAGCAAGTGACTTCCTCATGGGGGGAGTCAGTCTCTCCCCTCTCTCTCTCTCTCTCTCTCTTTCGTTTTTAAATCCTCACCCGAGGGTATGCTGATTGATTTCCGAGAGCCATGAAAGGGAGAAAAAGAGAAAAATACGCTTGTCAAACAGGAACCGGCTGCCTCACCCGGGGATCAAACCCGCAACCTTTGGACGCACAGGCGGACGCTCCAACCCACGGGGCGGCCCTCCCACGCCCCTGCCCTCCCCTCCCCTCCCCCCTCCCCTCCCCTCTAGACTTCCATTCAAACCGCACCTCCTGTCACAGAGGCCTAACAAAAAAATAAGAATAATAAAACCCCGCTGTTCATGCAGCGTTTAAGTGCTACTTCTTGACAAATGCCCGGGAAGGAAGGAAATGAGCGAAAAGCATTTTGAAAGCAGAGTTGGCTGGAGAATTGGGGTTGGGTTTTTTTTTGCTTTTTCTTCTTCTTCTTTTTTTTTGCTTTCTAAAAGACTGTGTGGGCGGGCAGGGGTGTTTCCCAGGGGAGGATTTCTCCTGCGCTGCGGAGGCTTGCTCTCAGAAGGCCGCTCTGGCTGCCCTTTGGAGAAGGGGCGGAGGCGGAGTCCGCACAGGGTTGGGGGGGGCGGGGAGACTCCAGCTGGGGCCGGGGGAAGCCGGGACGGTGGGTGGTGGAGGAACGCAGGAAGGCAACTTCAGCTGCTGGGCCGGGGTCCCCAGGGCCAGGGAGGAAAGGCAGGGACGGGGTGGGCTAGCGAGGTTCGTTCTGGACGTGGGTTCGAGGCCTGTGTGGGGTGCGGCCCCTTCCTGAAAGCATCCCGCGCCGTGGCGCTGCTAACGGGCAAAGGGAAACATTCTTTCTCGGCTGCAGGAGTAGTACCGGCAGGGCAGCCCCTGCGCAGGGATCCTTGCAAACCCCCAGCTGTGTTTTGGAGAACCGCCCCAGGCCCTTGGTTTTTTGGGGGGGGGTTGCCTTTTTTGTTTGTTTGTTTGCATTTCATCAAATGTCCTTGCAAATTCTCCGACCAGGAGTCCGCCTGCACCAAATGCACCCGATGCCCCAGCAGAGAATTTTCAGAGGCGAATCGGGTGTCTCCCTGCGCTTGTGCGTGAGGTTGGCAGACACAGACTCCGTGTTTTGTTTCGATTTGTTTGTTTGTTTGTTTGTTTGTTTTTTCCCCTGAAGCTGTGCACACCCTGAACACAGAGCTGGAACGCCAAGAACCCAAGCCTCCCCCCGGCCAGTTTCACTGGATAAAAAGCTCCCCCCCCACCCCACCCCACCCCGGCAGCATGGGCCAGCTTGCAGGGTTCCTTCCAACGCTGCGTGCGGCAGGCAGACTCCCCAGATATCTCACCGCCGGTTCAGTGCTGGGAAAGAAAAGGGTCGCTGTTTAAAACACTTGAGCAGAGCCCTGGCTGGCGTAGCTCAGTGTATTGAGCGTGGGCTGCAAGCGAAAGCATCGCAGGTTCGATTCCCAGTCAGGGCACATGCCTGGGTTGCAGGCCACAACCCCCAGCAACCGCACATTGATGTTTCTCTCTCTCGCCCTCCCTTCCCTCTATAAAAATAAAATCTTTAAAAAATATATTTAAAAAAAAACACTTCAGCCGAACGATGTGGAATTGTGCATGTTAATTCTGCAAGGGGCTGGCTTCGAATTTTGGCCAAGTCTTTGAGCTTTTGCAAACGCCCTGACTTTTTATGGCGGGGGTGGGGGGGGGCGGGGATCGATGGGGTCTTGGCAACCTGTTCTTGCTGGTTGAGAAATACTGTCATTTCTGATTTTCAGCAGAAAAGCTTCCTTCTCGGGACCCCCGTGGAGGTCAGGATCTACGATTTCCCTTCTGTCATGGACCCCTCTGAAGGCCCGTTTGTGAAACTGTGGTTTCGATGATACATGGAGGTAAATAAAAGTAAATAGATTTACAAATTTTAAAAATACAGAACAGCCCCGACTGGTGTGGCTGAGCAGGTGAGGTGTCGTGCCGTGAAGCGAAAGGGTCACCGGTTCAATCCCTGGTCAGGGCACAGGCCCCAGTTGCAGGTTTGACCCCAGTTCCCGAGCATGTGGGAGGCAACCGATGTTTCTCTCCCTCTCTTTCTCCCTCCCTTCCCTTGCCTCAGAAAATAAGTCAGCAAAGAAAACCTTTCAACATGTGCAGAAGTCAATGGAAGCTTCCAGGTTCCAGTACAGAAAGGACGCAACGTCTGTTGACCGTGGGATGGAACTCGAAATCCTTTTGGAGAGCCTTTGTGGCTCCTGCCCTGGCGTGTTTTGCAACTCTAGTGTACCTCCAGCAATTCTGCTTCTGGGCGTGGACCGGAAGAAAACAGGAACAGCGGTCCTAAGAAAGACACCTGCAGCCCTGAGTTCCCGGTGGCATTCTTGACAGTTGCCGAGACATGGAAGCACCTACGTGCCTGGTCATAGAGGACTGGGTAAAAGTGCTGTGGCACGCCCATGCAGTGGAATACTACTCGGGCATGAAAAAAGAACGAAACCGCACCATTGGCAGCCGCACGGCTGGGCCTGGAGGGCGTTATGCTCGGGGAGCTAAGTCAGACGGAGAAAGACAGACACCACGTGCTTTCCTAGCCTGGGGGAGTCTGACCAACAAAATAAGAAAACAGAAACAGCCTGTCTGGTGTGGCTCAGTGGATTGAGCACGAGCCTGGGAACCAAAGGGTCACCAGTTCGATTCCCAGTCAGGGCACATGCCTGGGTTGCAGGCCACGGTCCCCAGTAGGGGGCGCGTGAGAGGCAACCACACATGGATGTTTCTCTCCCTCTCTTTCGCCTTCTCTTCCCCTCTCTCTAAAAATGACTAAATAAAATCTTAAAAGAAAAAGAAAACGGACACAGAGAACAGACGAATGGCCAGCACAGGGGAGAGAAAGAGATGGGATGGGAATTTTAAAAAAGAGCTCAAGATTAGTTTTCTGCACACGGATAATAACCAATAAATAGCATAGAAGCCTGGGGGGGGGGGGAACGCTGACATGTCCCACAGGGAGTTTCCCCGTGAAAAACGTCAGGCGCCTTGTGCGCTGGGGCGCATCGAGCGCCTGGGGTCAGTCCTTGTTTTCTGACGCGTCGTCGCCAGCCTAGTTCTAACGCCAACGCGGCGCTTGCTTTGGGGGAGACTTAGGAAAAGTACGGAAGAGCAAAGATAAGGGGGGACGACGAGGAGACATGTAGGCGTGGGAGAAGCCCCGGATTTTGCACGGCACCCAGGTGGCACCAGCAGCAGGGACCTGCTGCGGCAGCAGAGCTGTGCAAGACCCTCGGTGGGAAAAGGATCATTATCACCAGCAGCCGCAGCAGCAGCACGAGAGAGCATCGACCTTGTGTTGGGAGACACTGTTGTGTCAGGGTCTCCGTGCCCGCCAAAGCGAGTCCTCTCTGCCACATGCACGCTCTGGGGGCCCTGCACGAAACCCCTCAGCACCACCACCCCGCCCCCACCGCCCCTGTGACCAGGCTCACCCCTCCCTCCAAACCGTCCCCCCACCCCCCACCAAAGGCCGCTCAGCCGGCTCCGTAATCTGATTGGCTTCTAATCCTCGCCGGCAGGGATCAGCGCCGTGACCTTCAGGAACAGACCTGAATTAAAAAAAAAAAAAAAAAAAACATCCGGTCCGAGGCCGAGGGATAAGCGTTTGTGGGGACAAAGCCCTAGGAGGGGCTGTCCTTAAAAAGCACGGATGCACTCAATGTCATGGCCAGGGCACGCCTGGACTCCGTGGGCCGCGTGGGGGGGCCCCCCCATGCAGAAAGGCTGGTGGTTGGTGCCTTCCTCCGCCCACTGGTCCCAAAAGGTTCCTCGCGGCTCGGAGAGTATAAATGGTCTCCACGTGCCCGCGGGGTGTGCTTCCTGGGGAGGGCACGCCGGCCACCTGCCCATGGAGCCGTCAGCCCCACGCGGGCGGGCGGGCGGGCGGGCCGGCGCAAGGGTGCCTCCGTCTCATTTCTCTGTGACACTCGGTCTTTCTCCGTCGCCCAGCGAGGCGAGGACCACGGCCCCAGCGGGGGGAAGCCCTAGAGCTCAGGGCGTTTCCCCGGCACGGCGAGGGTCCCTTCCGGACGCAGGGAGGTTTGTGGCTCGCTGGCCGCCTGTGACACAGGGACAGGTCTTTGTCATTGTCACAGAGCCTGTGTGCACGTCGTCGCTGGGGGCTGGGGATCAGCCCCCTGGGGTTCCGAGAGAGAGAGAGAGGGCAGCGCCGGGAACGTTCCGTGAGGTTACCTTCCTGTGAAATGGAACCTTTTGACACGAGACGTGGGGGTTTGCTCCATGGCTGCCGCCTTTCTCTCTGCCCTGGGAGCAGACCAGGTCGGCACGGACAGAACAGAGACATCCACCTATTATTATTTTTTTTTTATGACAAAATTTCCGATGAACCTGACAAGGTCGAGGGATTTCGCTGAGCCTTTAATCTAGTTCCGAGAAAATGGGATTCCGGGGGATGTGCGTCAGACAAGGCCGTTGAGCCCTGGCTGGCGTAGCTCAGTGGATGGAGTGCGGGCTGCGAACCAAAGCGTCGCACGCAGGTTCGATTCCCAGCCAGGGCACATGCCTGGGTTGCAGGCCACGGCCCCCAGCAACCACACACTGATGTTTCTCTCTCTCTCTCTCTCCCTCCCTTCCCTCTGTAAAAATAAATAAATAAAATCTTAAAAGAAAAGAAAAGGCCGTTGAAAACCTCGCAGACGGCAGCCCGCTCACCTTTATGGAAACAGCTTTCCAGGGTGCACTGAACGGTGTGTGTGTGTGTGTTTCTGTGTGTTTGTGTGCAAGAGGCAACCACCCATGGATGTTTCTCTCCCTTTCTTTCTCCCCCTCCCTAACCCCTGTCTCTAAAACTAAAGACATAAAATCTTGAAAAGAAACAAGATAAAGAGATGGTCCCGATAAAGACAGTCGATGCAGGCCCGGGCATCGCTGTCATTGGGAGCTCTGTCCAGTTCCAGGCGTTTGCCCCCGTGAATAAATAGGCGTTGGATGGATTTTGCGGAGCAGCGAGTGGCTTCATGTCTTTGCAACACCCCGCGGGGGGCAGGCACAGCCAGGCCCTGGCTCTTTCCAGGAGAGCTGGGTGCCGGTCTGCAGTGGGACGCCCGGGCCCCTCAGAGCCTCCCGGGCCAG